GCCTATCCCCCCTTGTCTCCCAGGTCCTGGGGGGCGCTTTTTCTGGCCCGAGGTCTTCTCCTTGCGGGTGGGAGGACTGGGATCACCTCCGGGCTCCCAGCCCCACCCCCTCTCTAGCCCCTTCCCTCCTCCCCCACCCACTCCCTTGACAGAGCGGGAAAAGAACCCAGGCGTCCGGGCTTCCAGCCCCACCCCCACTCTCACTCCCCTCCCAGAACTGAGCGAGAACCCAGGCCTCCCACACCAACCAATCGCCACCACTCGCCTCCCAAAGCCGGGAGGGAACCCAGGCGTCCGGGCTCCCAGCGCCCCCCGGCCCCCTCTGCTTTTTCCATTGCATCCCACTATCCTGCCCCCCACCCCCAACCACTCCCCTCATCCCAGCAGCAGTAGCGCTGCTCCGATGCCAGCTGGCAATGTTGGGGGTCGGGGGGCAGTGCCAGGACCCCCCTTCTCCCACGCACCTAGTGGGCCTGGAGAGCTCAGTGGCACACCCCCTCGCCTCTGGCACATGCACACGCACACACATACACGCGAGACCCAGGCGTCCGGGTTCTCTGTCTCTCATCCCCCCCCGCAGGATTCCGGGTCTCTCACCCCCCAGGCATCCGGGCAGTACACCCCGCCCCCCTTCCCCAAGGCTGCCTAGCCCTTGATCTAGTTCCTCCCAGGCAATCGGGGCCAGGCCGAGCCGGGGGAGCCTCCCTGCTCCCAGCCCTCCACCCCCGCAGGAGCCCCTGCCAGATCCAGGGAGTCCTTGAGATGTAGGTCAGAGCCGAGAGGAGGAGGCTGCCGCAGGATCAAAGGGGCTTTGTTCCCGGTTGGGGGGGGAGGGCGAAACAGACCAAGCCCCTGGCCCGAAGCTGACCAAGGGACAGCTGGGATGAGCCTGGCACAAAGCCCTGAAGTCAGGGCACAGCGGGAGCGGGGCGTTTGGGGGTCCCACCCCCAAACGCAGGCAGCATCCGGGCCACCTAACTCAGCCAGGGGTCCTGGCAAGACTTACCCCCCCAACTTCTTTAACCCAGGTCCCAGGCCCAAGCCCCTGGTCGTGGGGGGAGTGCCTCATCTCCAGCCTCAGTCTCCCCCACCTGCAGCCTGAGCCCATTGCCCTGCATGGTGTGCCTGTACAGCACCTTGCACCTGGAGAGGCACAGGTTAGGTCCTGTCTCCACCCAGCCTCTCCCTAGAGGGCCTGGCAGGCTGGGATCAAATTCTCCCTCACCCTGCTAGTCTCCAGATCAGCCCAGTTTGCCTAGCCCGTCCTTCCCAGGCTGCACTGGTGCCTCTGATAGCAACCACCGGAATCCCAGATACATTCAGGCCTGATCCCAGCCTGGTAGTCTGTACAGCACCTGGAACCGCCCCCATCCCGGCCTAGAGCTGAGCACAGCACTCGGCACCCCCCAGCCTGGGGTCTGTACTGCCCCGGGACTAGTCCCTTGACGGGCCCCTCGCAGAATCACACCACTGTAGCAGGCCCCTGGGGGAAGGGCAGGAATCTGTTGGGGCCACACCCCGAACGGGCGGGCTGTCCTGTAGCAAACAGCCCCGCCTCCATTAGCCACGTGACCTTGCCACATCCAGCGGCCAAACCAGCTTCTTTGGCCACCACCCCCTGCTTTCTTTAAGCCAGGCCCCCCAGAGGGGCGTGGCCTCCCTGGCCAATAAACACCGGCCGAGCGGGGACTTCGGTAGCTTCCAGCGCCTGGACAGAAGGTGATTTGTTACGTCCCAGTTGAATCAGTCTGGGTACCACTGGGTGGAACTGGACCAAAGACTTCTCTCCACAGAAACACAGCAGCCTGGCAGAAGTTTCTCGGCCTTCTTATTTTTCTCCCCCCCTCCCATTAATTGCTGGTTAATTACACTACAAATAATTGGGGATAAATTAAAACCCAACAGGAGCTGGCCCCAGCCTGGGGGGGGCTGTGGGCTGGCAGGGGGGCTCCGAAGTGCGGAGGAGAGGAGAATTGGGAGCCTCTAGCTCTCTCTGGCTCTGGGAGAAGAGTTGGGGCTGGAGGGGTTATGTTATGGGAAGAGCAATGGGAGTCAGGACTCCTGGGTTCTTAGGCTATCCTGGGAGGAAGGTGAGAGCAAGGGGGTGGGCCTGGGAGCTGGGATGCCTGGGTCCTCTCTTGTTCTGGGAAGAGAATGGGGGGTGGAGGTTGCTGGAAGCCAGGACAGCCGGGTTCTCTTCAGCTCTGGGAGGTGTGTGGGAGCTGGTGGGAGTCAGCAGGTGGGGGCTGGGTACCCAGCTGCCTGGCTTTAACTCCCCAGACTGCCCTCCAGCTTCTAGAGCTGGGCTTAGAACAGCAAAACTTGAAGCCTGGACCCCTGGGTTGTCATCCTGCAGGGCACCAGGAAGCTCTGAAGAACCTCTCAGCTCCAAGAGACCCTATCCAGTTGTTCTGGTGGCCCCGATCCCAGCTCCTGAGACCCCCAGAGACCCCTCCCCAGTCACTCCTCTTCCATCTGCTCCCGGACCTCCAGGGGCAGTGTCTCATAGAGGGTGTCTTCCACCACCAAACCACTCCGTCGCAGCACCCTGCACCTCCCCAGCTGTGCAGGCAGAGCCTCTAGCCGGTTCCCTTCCAGCTCCAGTCGGGTGAGGGTGGCAAGCGCCCCAACACGAGGGGACAGGGCTGAGAGTTTGTTGCCCCCCAGCAGCAAGGTACTGAGCCGGTGGCAGAAGAAGACCTCATCCGGCAGTGTCTCCAGGGCGTTGGAGGAGAGGCCCAGATGTCGCAGGTTCTGCAAGGCACCCACACCTGGTGGCAGCTCCCGAAGGCAATTGTGGGTCAGGTCCAGACGACGCAGTGTGGTGCAGAAGAAGAGGGCAGCAGGCAGCACCTGGACCTCATTGTGGCTCAGGTCCAGCTCCTCTAGGCTCCGCAGCTTCCGCACGTGCTCGGAGAGGCAGGCAATGCGGTTGTGCCAGAGGCGAAGGATGGCCAGCTTCCGGCAATGCTGGAGACTCACCATCTCCTCCACTGCTTGCAGCCGGTTGCCCTTCAGATCCAGCTCCCGCAGGTCCCCCAGGCTGAAGACAGCATGGGGGACCCTCTCCAGCCCACAGCTCAGCAATGCCAGCTCCCGCAACCCCCCCAGCTTCTTCAGGGTGTTAAGGGTCACCAGGCGGACGCCAGCATTGTGGATACAGAGCCGCCGGAGATGCGGTGAGAGCATGGCCAGGCCTGGGGGCACCTTGGAGATCTCACTGTGCAGGAACAGCGCCTTGAGGTTCCTCAGCTCCCGGAGGTTCTCCAACACACCACCCACCTTGCCCCCAACCTCCAGCCCGCAGAGCCCAGAGAGGTGCAACTCTTCCAGCCCGCGGAGGGCATAGACCCATGGCGGCGTCTCCCGCAGGTCCTCAAAGGTGGCCATGAACACCTTGAGACGGTCGCGGAGGAAGACCAAGGAGGAGAAATGCACCTGGGCCGGGCAGTTGACCAAGCCCAGCTCTTGAAGACGGCCCAGCTGGGTCACGACAGGTGGGATGTCAATGTCTCCCAGCGCCTCAAGCGTCAATGCCTCCAGCTCAGGCAGCTCGAAGACAGCATCTGGCAGGCCCGGGAGGGAGGCCAGGTGCAGCTCCAACCGGCCCCGGGTGTTCTGCTGGAGCCTCTGCCGTAGCTTCTCCACTGGCCACTCATGGTTGAGCTTGAGCCTCTTGAGCTTGCCCTCGCTGGTCTCAGAGAGGAAGACGGCCAGGCGGCGGGCATAGAGCGAGTCCGACTGATCCACCAGGTGCAGCATGAAAGCCAGGTCATTCCGGACATCTGGGATGTCCCCCATGCCCATCTCGGACCGTGCTGCCCGGAATGAATACACCTTCAGTGGGCGGTGGAAGACCCAGTAGAGTGTGTAGATGCAGGTGGAGCCGTAGGCTGCCAGGACGCCCAGGTATCCCAGAGCCAGCTTGGAGAAGAGATGGGCTTTGGTGTGGTGGCAGCAGAAACTCCCAGCACCTGTTGCACCCCCTGGGGCCACGTGGCAGGGCACAGGGCCCCGGATGGTGCTCACCAGGGCAGCACTGTAGGCCACGATAACCACAAACTTGAGCACCTTGACCACGGCCTGGCGCAGGTACATGGTGTGGAGGATGTCTCCCTGCTCCACGTGGAGCCGGAACTTCCTCACCTTCTCGAACAGTGCCCGGGCCTGCTCCACTTCCTTGCGGTCCAGCAGCATTGACGGGAGCTCGGGCCCCTTCTTCTCCGATACGGACAGAGCCGGCTCCAGCACTGGCCGAGACTCCCCCGCCTCCTCCCTGGGGCTCCTCTGCTTCTTGCGGGAGCCCGGGGCATCCCCAGAGACCTCAGAGAGGGCTCGGGTTGTCCAGGGGGAGTCGAAGCACTTGGCCAGGATGGAAACGAAGTGCTCAATCTTGGAACTGGTGCCAGGGAACTTGAACCAGAAGGAGGTGCAAGCCATGAAGACCAGGGTGTGGATGATCACCAGGTAGGGGAAGTACTTGGGGTACCAGGGCAGAGCTGTCTCATAGCACAGTTGGTTCACAAAGCCATACTGCTGCAGGTCCAGGTGGGGCCGGGGGGGGAGCTCCGGGGGAGGCCCTGAGGTGTTGGGGAGGTCCTGGGCTACAGACGGGCAGGCGGCATCAGGGGGCAGGGGCAGGCAGATGATCTTGTCCTGGGTCACCTGAAGAAGGGGAAGAAGAGGGGGTAAGGAAGGGGTGACTGAGTAGGGGGAGAGAGGATGGCACCTCCACTGGTGGCTGGGAGGACCCCAAGGAGGGTGGGGGGAGTCAATGGGAGGAGCAGGGAGGGGGCTGAGAGCCCGGTTGCCTTGGTTCTTCACTTGCCTTTGGGAGGAGAGTGCAGCTCAGGGATTAGAGCAGGTGTGATGGCGGGGGCGGGGGGCCTGGACACCTGGGTTCCCACCCTCACCTGGTGGCCTTATTACCTGTGAATAGGAGGGGCCGTGCCCCTCGCATCGTGGCAGGGGCTGTTTTGTGGAGGGTTCCAGGCCAAACCCCCACCTTGGAGCCCCAACCCCAGGAATATCAGTCCCCC